AAGCAATGTGTGTAAGAAAATGAAAGGCAAGGTTGATCGTGTGTCGTAAGCGTAAAAGCAAAAGTCGAGCTATTTCCTATTAAATTGCTTGCTAGTATGTACTCGGATGTATTTTAAAGGTGTTATTTATTTTTATTTTTTGATGTGTATACATCTTTGTTTTCGGTAGGGGTAAAATTTGCGAAGCTGTAACGCATATCCCAGCACAAAATTTCGAAGGGCTTAGCATGTGTATTTCAGCATAAAATTTTTATTTTCATTAGAAGCACCCTGTGTTCGCTTGCCAAATGGTTGCATACATTTAGGCATATGCATAGTAAGAGAAAATGCGCTACAATTAATTATTAGCCGTCATCGATTCGCCATCAGTTAGCAAGTGGCGAAACGAACGAACTCAATGAGGTACAACCAAACTTGCTATCGTCTATCCGTGCTAGCTAACTTTGTTGTTGTTTTCACATGCAAAATTTTTCGTTAAGCGACCGGAACTCAAACATAGCGAGCGAGAAGTGGCGAATCGACGACGACATGGGATCCTATGACACCCACAATGCACAAGATACTAATTCCTTATTAACAATAGGACATTTATCGGTGAGGCTCAAGAGGCCCACAACCGTATATAACCGGCTCTATGACAAAATATTCATGGAATGTATTCGTAGATTTTTATTTACTTCATGCATTAGCATTGATGTTTTGTTTTTCATACATTAGTATTGATGTTTTTTACTAAATACCAGGAATAAATATTTAATAAAAAACTATTTCATTTAAGCTTAACCAACTTTTAGTTGCTCGGAGCTAATTTTGGAACGCTTCACGAAATATTTTCATAGACAGTAAATGCAACCCTGGGTGCATCATTAACGAGCTGAAAAACCAAACAAATAAAAAAATTCCATCTGAACCAATATTCCCAAAAATTATAAAGCAAAACAAAAACCATTTTTTTCCAATTTATGCACTGTTATTTTTATTATTGCAATACAATTTCGCAGCTCTTCAAACATTTTCCACATTATGCCATTTGCTCGTTTTTTTTTTCAATTCTGAATTTAGGATAGGCTTCATGGGAACTTACTGTGGGTGCAAACAGACCACATTTTGTAAACTGAATTGTGATATTTAATTTTATTTTATAATGAAAAATGAATTTAATGTGCAATTTTTTAAGTTTACCAGATGTAAGACAACTTTTAATTTTCTTTATACATTGCATGCTTTAGTTTTAATTCTGTTTAAGTTAAGTTGTAAAGGTGAAAATAGGCCTTCTGGGCAACCGAGCACATTAAAAAAAATCGGTAACGCGCGTAAAAGCATACCTCACAAGTGGTGTGGAAAATGCAAGAACAAATATAAATGGAATAATTTTCGAAATTATGAAATGGTTATTGGTATTTTCCATCTCAAAGGGGGTGATTAGTTTGAACGTTATTTAAGCTGCCTTTACACGGTCGATTTTTGTCGTTTAACCAAAATCTACCCGTGTAAATTGCAATTCAACCGTAAAATGTAAGCGTTTTGGCTAGTCGATATCTTAAGTAAATTTTCCAGTCGACAGAAATCGACCCGTGAAAAGGCAACTTCAGGAATTTTTTAATTTTCTTTTTTTTTTTGCTTGGGCGTCTTTTGAAGATGTGCCAAATTATATTGTCTACTTAAATACAAAACAACAATTTCTTTAAGCCATCTTGTGCAGCAATTTGTTGATCTTATCCTCACGGCTACCGAAATCACCAACCTCAACGTAGTGATTAGCCTTCTTGCGCCAGCCTCGGGTTGATGTGTTGAGCTTGAATAGCAACAGGAAGTTGGGGGCTTTCTTGAAGTGAAGTGAATCAACGCACTGCGTTTGCGTTCGATCACAAAGCAGATATTGGGACACGCTTGACCATTCCACGTTTGTACATCAATTCACAAACTGATTTAAGATTTGGATAACCCCATATAGGGGGTTCGGCATACGTAGCATATTAATGGTTGCCTTGCTCAATTTGATGAACACACCGTTTTAATGTGGCGAAGACAGAACTGTAAAACTACGCACTTTTTGTGCAACTTTGTTGATACCGCGGATGCGGATCACAAAAGCCAATTTGGATTTTTCAGGCCCGTCGAATTGGCCGCATTTCTTTTCCACACAGCGTTACTCCATCTCACGGCGTCCATCACGGAGTTTTCTTGTTTGATATTTCTCAGCATGCACCAAGTTTTCACATTTACGGAGTGCAATCACAGCAGAGCGCTTTAGTTTAAATTTGATCAGGGTAGCAATTTGCTGACCTGCTCTTGCTGAACTGCAGCTTCGGCTCGGGGCAGGAGGCAGCTTCCTGGAATGTTGTCTGCCCTTTGCTTGCGGTTTCTTACCGGCCCATGATGGCAGCCATCTTAACTTGTTACTTAGCACGTTGAAAAGGCGAAAAAAAGTTCGCCAAATGTTTGGAGCACATTGTAAATGAGCCACTCGATTTATAACATTTCTATAAACAATTTAATTAAATACTTTTTATACATAGATATGCTGCAACCATGCACTTACTTTCCCAAATTCCATCCTGCTTATCGGCATAATTTTCCAAATATGCCTGCTACTTCATTACTAATTACTAAATTTTCCAACTGCGCCTTCTTTGTTGGCTCGACATATCCTAAAAAGACAAATTTACATTAAACAATAGAAATCGCAAAAATTAGCAAATAAAATACTCGCTCTGTTTTGTTTTGTTGTAAAATTTCTGAGAAATGTGAACTCACCACGATGCGATACAGAAAGAACAAGGACCAGGGATGTAATTTTAAGTAAATCTATTATTCAGTGGCAAGGCGCAGAGCGTTCGGGGCAGCAATATTAATTTGTATCAAATATAACATTAAACGGTGGTTCTAATACATTTTTTGATATTATTAACCAGAGTACATACATTATATGGTATTTCTTTCAAAATTAATGTACTATATGAACTTTTTTTTCAAATATTTCTTAAGTTTCTCAGTGCTGAAAAGCAACCATGCGTGTAAGAAATTGTGTGCTACCTAAAATTTCACCTCTGGAAACTTTATCCCCATAAAGGACTTCACCACAGTTTTTTTACTGGATATACTGAGCCTTTTGGGTTGTTGTTGTAATAGTCGCTGTTGTTGTAGTTATATTCACTCCTGAGGAAGGCACGGGGTTGTGTGCTGCTATTTAATGGCCTTCCTCAGACTTTTTCTTAGATTTCAGGGTTATGTGCTGCATTATCTATCTTCTATCTATATTAATAAAAATGTTGTGTTCGTATGTCACGGTCGTCAAAACTCGAGAACGGCTGAACCGATTTGAATAATTGAAAATTGGAGGGTTGCCACCTATTTGAAAATGTTTAAACCCAATTATATTGATAAAATAAATAAATTATTACAATATGGGTATCAAATTAAAGAGTTTTAAGAAATATAACTGCTGGAAATATTTTTGACGAGGGCTGCCACCTATTTGAAAATTTTAACTCAGACAAATTGATAAAATAAATGAATTGTACAATTTTTCGTAGAAATGGTATAAAACTCTTGAAAATCAATATTTTTCGACCGGAAAACTATGGTTCTCTTCAGGAGACTATTATCCAATTGTTTATTTAACCATTTTTTATGATTAAAGATTTTTTATTGGTCCCCCCATTGTATTTTCTAAAGGCTTTGGAGGACCTATAAAATATAGTTACCATGTTAAAGAAACAATTGAGTATTATTACTGGGAATCTCCTGAAGATAAGTAAAGTTTTCCGATCGAAAAATATTGATTTTCAAGAATTCTACACTATATCTACGAAAAGATGTTTTTTCTCCATACAAAATACATGGAAAACTTTGAGCGCTTTGAGCACTACCTAAACTATTTTTTATTTCAAAATAAAAAATATGGGTATATTTTTTCGGTATATAACAATCCTAGGTGGTGGCGGCATTAAAAATCCGACCTTATTTTTTTTACATACATTTTTGGACCACTTTAGTGTACATGTATGCGTACATATGTACATATATTATTAAGCATTAGGGTGGACCGTTTTGGATTGATTAAATAAGTGAAATATTGCAATGTGGGTATCAAACTAAAGAGTTTTAAGAAGACTTAGAACAATATGGGTGCCAAACGAAAGGTATTTGAAAAATCTTGATTTGGAAATATTTTTTATACGATTATCATCTATCTAAAAGTAAAGACTGAAAATATTGCATTTAAATGAAATATTACATAACTGGTTCCAAACGAAAAGTATTTGGGAAAGCTTTACTAGGGAATTTTTTTAAATCTTTCCACAAAATCTGAACATTGTGATCATATTATCAACGAAGAGCTGGTACACAAATTACTTAATGTAAAAAATTCATAAACAAGTAATTTTTAAGCAAACAACACACCGACTCCAATTCTCATACAAAAGTGTAATAGTGTTAATTTTTTCATGATCCAATGATCGCATCTAAACCAAATTAGTATGGGATCACCTGGAAATCGGTTGACGTGGTCCAAAGTTATGCGGTAACATGCATAAAAAAAATCCGACGAATTGATAACCTTCTCCTTTTTTTTGAAGTCGGCTAAAAACTACTGAAACAAATAACAAAATGATAAAAGAGTAACGAAAACAAAAAACTATCGCATTAAAGCTGTTTAAAAAATACTTAATGAAAACATAAAATTGTTGACACCATTCCCTAGCATTATAAATCAGTCAACTTTTAATCGTAAGCAATTTAGTTTGGGGTCGCCAAGGCCTACTACGTATATTGCGAGTAAAGAAATTTTGAATAATATGAGATAATATTATTATGATTATGATTAACATTACTATTGTGAACTCCTATTCCCAATCAAGGATTCCCAAATTAAAGCGAAAGCAGAAGAGCATTTACGACCGCATGATGCAAATGTTAAGATAATAAGAGCTGCAGAACTGAACCATGTAGGAACATTTTTTTTACAAGGGCATGTAGTTTCTGGCGTGTGCCGATGACATCGACATCAACGGTAACAAAAATAGCGAAGTCTCTTCTGCCTTTTCCAAGCTGGATAAGGAAGCAAAGCGAATGCGCCTGGTGGTAAACGAGGACAAGACGAAGTATCTCCAGTCACCGCGTTCGCGCCTTGGAACCCACTTCACTGTTGACAGTTATAATTTCGGGAAAGTGGAGAATTTCATTTACTAGGGAACCAGCACTATCACCGATAAAAATATCAGCACGGAAAACCCACGCAGAATTACTCTTGCCAACAGGTGTTGCTTTGGACTGAGTAGGCAATTGGGGAGTAAAGTCCTTTCTCGACGTACAAAAACCGCACTCTATAAGTCACTCATCATGCCCGAGCTGTTATATGCCGCAGAAGCTTAGACAATGATAACATTTTATGAGGCGGCTCTTGGAGTATTCGAGAGAAAGATCTTACGGAAGATATAAAGGCTTCTACGCATGGGCGACGAGGGTTACCGTAGACGATGGAACGATGAGTTGTATGAGCTGTACAACTAAATGTACATAGTGCAGCGAATGAATATAGAGCGGCTCCGCTGGCTTAGATATGTCGTTCAATAGGAACCGAAGTTTCAGGTGTAAAAGAATTCAACTAGCAAGCCGATGGTGGTAGCAGACGAATAGGAAGCACCCATGGCAATGGAGAGACCAAGTTGGCACAGAGAGAAATGACTGGCGTTCTTTGTGGAGCTCGGCCAAAATGGCTTAGGCGGTTACAAAGCCAAAGTAGACGAAGAATATGCAAATGATAAATGACGGAGTTGGTGGGCCATTTTCTTGGATGCGCCAGGAGGAACTAGCAAAATATTCCTTATCAAATATTCCCGATCAAAAAATTACATTACCTTAGCTATCGCTTCGTCTGGAATTTCTGCGACATTATTACCAGGTGGAAACATTGCCAATTCAGCTCTTTAGCTGCCATTGAACATATAAATCATTGAAACTCCCACGTGCAATATTTCATACCGGATGAAAAAAGTTTACCAAAAAATTAAATTCATTGTTTGGAATGAGTGCACCATGGCACATAAAATATCGTTTGAGGCTTTTGATCCATTGTTGCGGGATTTGCGTGGAAACGTTCAACCATTCGGGATATTGCTCGCAGGCGATTTTACGAAAACATTGTCTGTAGTTTCTCGATTAACACGAGAGATAAATGCCAGTCAATGAGAGATTAAAACGACTTTTATGGCCTGATAATTTTTGGAAATTAGAAACATCGAAAGGAGAACTGATCGAAAGAATGTTTCTTTATTAAGAAAATTAATTTTAGGAATCACTATTGGCTCAGTGAACGGGCTATTCTTGCTGCGAAGAATAAGGGGTCTATCAACTAAATAATATTGGTATTTACAACAGTAGTTGCTTGAGCTGATCAGCTCTTTTACTAGACTGCCAGACCACTTGCTCACTGTGGTGAATACCACTAATGTTATTCAATCCAGCATTCAACGTGAGGAAATAGCATATACGTCGATAAACACCGTTGCGGAAAAAGATCATCCAACGAAATTTTTGAACTCGATTGATCTTCCAGGGAGACCTCACATACTGAAATTGAAAATAGGTTTGACAGTTATCATGTTGCGGAATATTAATCAGCGAAAACTCTGCAACGGAATGCGACTCGCAGTTAAGAAATTGATGAAGAACGTAATGTAAGAAAAGATTTTAACGTGGTCTTCCAAAGGTGAAGAATTCCCATGATTCCATTTAATGATGATGATTCAATTTAAAAGATTTGAATTCCCAATTCGATTGACATTCGGAGTCACAATCAATAATGCTCCAGGTCGAACTTTGGAAAAGTATGGTTTAGATTTAGATGCGGATTGCTTCTCAAATGTTGCGTGTTCCTGTGTCGGCAAACCAGATATCCTTGATATCTATGCATAGAATGGAAAAATAACAAATATTGTGTGCACACGAGTACTTATTACATAACCAAACACATACGTAAACGTGAAACGTATGCTTTGTTTCGTTAATAATTTATCGTCCATATAACAGAAATATGCCACAGCAAAGCGTGGCAGGGTACAGCTAGTTATAAGATAAATAAATTTAAGCATTTGACAAATCGTGATTTTATTAAAAGAAAATTATAAATAGTGATGAAAACCAAACAAACGCTCGTGCGAAAGCTCTATTTTTGTGTGTTGTTAAAATTTATACATGGCGTATTGATGGTAATACAAGCAATGTATTCTTTTGTGGATTTTATGTTACTTGAGAATTTAGACAACGTGCGAGCTGCCAGGTTATGTTATCAATATAATTAACACACGCTTTTCCGCGTGGTTGCCTTTCAATAAATAGAATAAACAAATATTCGCAAATAAATTGGATTTATTTTATAACTGACATCTAACGTACGCTTTTTGTTCTTTTCTCCATTTTGATTTTGACACTTTATTACCGTCAACAACTTTATGTATACATATTTACAAGCTGTCAAAATTTTGCGTAGTCCCACGAGCTAGGTAGAAACTATGGCATTCGTATTCACAACGAGAAATCTCAAAATTTTTGTTTGGTCTTTCCAAATTTTCTCTTTTTTATCAGTTGGCAAAGGGCCTCAGTGGCAGCGCTCCGGCTGTTGGTGAGCTCGGACTCGTTTTTAAGCAGTATTTCGGTTCATGACCAAAAAAAGAAAAAATATCAAATCGTTTTCCCCAGACAAAATAAACCTGCTGTTACCCTCTAAATCCGTTGTCAAAGATGTGACAAAGGAATAGTTTGAGGCCAGCGAAGATTCTGAAAGTGAAAACTAATTAACCAATGATAGTGTGCACACATTTTATAAATAAAGGTAGTCAATATATTTAAATAGTAAATTATTGGCTAATATATATATTTTATTAATACAACCTATCTGTAATACAAATTATTTCAATTTTACATTTGATAAACAATTTTGAGTAGATAGAGGCAATAAAATATTTTTTGCCGCATAAAACTTGAAAATCTACCTATATGCGGTGTTTCCAAGATATTTTAACGCCCTTGAGTCACAAGTATATACAAGTATATTTTCTCAATCATACCGATAATGTCATGTATTAAAAGAATTAAAAATGAAAATGAATAAAAAATTAAATCAGCAAAATGAATAAAATTATGTGAAATTAATGTTTAATTTCTAACCTAACCTACATTTGTATGTGTGTAACTGAATCGCCTTTATATATAAAAATATTATCCCAATTTTCGAGCTTGACTCCCTAATCTGTTATTAGAAAAAGAGATTAGTTATGCAAAATTATAATTAACAAGTAAGAAAGTCTAAGTTCGGGCGGAGCCGAACATTAAATACCCGGCGCAAATATTAAATATATGATTTTCACCTTTCCGAAAGCTACCACTACATGGTAAGCCGGGGTGTATCAATTTTGACTAAATTAGCGTCCTTAAATTTCAAAATATTGACGTTTCAAGCATTTCTAAAATTTGCCGTTATATGAAAAGCCATAATTTTAGTCCGATTTCAGTAATTTTCATCGTTTTGCTTTTATGTAGCAAGCACAATAAAAATACCGAGTTTGGTACAAATTGGTAGAACGGTTACCGAGATACATATATGTGATCATAAGTGGGCGGTGCCACGCCCATTTTTCAAAATTTTATTATAGACGTATTTCCTGGTAAGGAATTGTTGCAAGCATCAATTTTGAATAAATTGGCTTTAATATTTACTGATTTATCGAAGATTTCGTATTTCTCCAAATTACCGTTATATGAGATGTGGGCGTGGATATTGTCAGATTTTAAAAATTTTCGGCCATTTGGTATCCTGTACCAAGGCCAACAACTGTGCCAAGTTTGGAAGAAATCGGTGCAGCGGTTGCCAAGATAT